TGCACTCCTTCTGGTACTTCCCCCACAAAGGGTCAACATTTTGAATATCCATGAAGCTCTTAAAATGTGAAATTAACATCCGATTTCATTCAGACTTGGTGCTTCTCAATATTTTCATCAACACAAGATCTCTTATAAAGATGGTAGAGATCGGAACATTCCTTCCGGCACCTCCCTCACAAAGGGTCAAATATTTTGAATAACAAAAAACGATTATAAAATCCGAAATAAGCATCCGGTTCTCTTCAAATTACACACATCACAATATTTTTATTAACACAAGGTCTGGTGTGAAGATGGCAAATAATATCGGTCCACTCCTTCCGGTACCTCGCCCACAAATGTGTCCAAATTTTGAAAATCCATGAAGCTCTTAAAACGTGAAATTAACATCCGACTACATTCAGACATTCCATCAACACAAGATCTCTTATAAAGATGGTAGACATCGGACCATTTCTTCTGGTACCTGCCCACATAGGTTTCAAGATTTGGAAAAAACAAAACGCTCAAAGAAAACGAAATAAGCATCCAACTCGCTTCAAATTTCTAACATCCAAATATTTTTGCTAACGCAGGTCCGTTGTGAAGATGATATATATCTGCCAACCCCTTCTGATACCTCACCCACAAAGGGTCACATTTTCCAATTCTTATATCTGTCATAACTTGGAAAACAAGTCAGTGATGCTTAGCGAGGATGATCCCTAACCAAGAAAAATATTCAGTAAAAAAGACCTGTTGCAATTCAAAAAAAAAAAAAAAAAAAAAAAACGAAATCGAAAACCAACCAAAAAATCCAAAAAACCCAATAGTGTTTCGAACTAACATAATATTATTAACAAGTAAAAAACATTAAGTTCGGCCGGGCCAAACATTTAATACCCTCCACCTTAGGGTAAAAGAACATTAGAAGAAATGTGGCAAAAACCATTAAAATGCCGAATATCGGGAGGTACCGTTATATGGGGGCTACACCAAAACGTGGACCTATAATTACAATGTTCCGCCACACGAACTAGGACCCATTATGACCCACAAATACCAATTTTTAGACAAATCAGTGAAAAAAATGTGGCAAAAACCATCAAAATACCGAATATCAGGAGGTACCGTTATATGGGCTATACCAAATCATGGACCCATACATGCAATGTTTCGCCACCGGAGCTGGAAACCATTATGACCCACAAATACCAATTTTTAGACAAATCCGTGAATAAATGTGGCAAAAAAACTAAAATACCGAATATCGGGAGGTACCTTTATATGGGGGCTATACCACAACGTGGACCTATACATGCAATGTTTTGCCACACGCTCAGGGACCCGTTATGACTTACAAATACCAATTTCCAGACAAATCCGTGAAAAAATGTGGCATAACTCATCAAAATACCGAATATCGGGAGGTACCGTTATATGGGGACTATACCAGAACGTGGACCGATATATCTCATTTTCAATACCAACCATCCTAGACACAATGCAAATAGCGCTGCTAAATTTTGGCGCTCTACGTCAGATAATGTGGGCTGTATCGTGATTTCAACAGACAGACAGACAGACGGACATCGTTAAATCGACTTAGAATTTTATGCTGATTATGAATATATATACTTTATGGGGTCTACGACGAATATTTCTGGATGTTATAAACGGAATGACAAAGTTAATATACCCTCCTTTCCAAGGTGGAGGGTATAATAAGTAAAAAAGCAGTAAGCTCGGCCGGACCGAACTTTGAATACCCTCCACCATTTGGAGAGAATTTGGAAATTTTCAAAAAAAAAAAAATCCTTTAAAAGTTCTGTCAAAATCTTAAAACTACCGATTATATCCGTTATTTTCGGGGTCTATACGAAGACGTCAACCTACATAGGCAAATTTGTCATAAGCCATTACAATATTCAAATACGAAACTTGTAACATAAATCCGATGAATAATGTAGCTAAAATCATCAAAGTACCGAATATAGGGAGGGGTACCGTTATGAGGGACCTATACGAAGACATAGACCTGCAAAATACTTCATGGACTTCAAATACTAATATTTGAAATAATTCCGGTGGATAACGTATTTTAAAATATCAAAGCACCGAAAATAGTGAGGTACCGTTATATGGGAGCTATACGAAGACCGGGATCTGCATTGGCAATTTGTAAAAAATCCGGTCAATAATGTAGCTAAAATCATCAAATACCGAATATAGGAAGGTACCGTTATGGGGGACCTATACGAAGACATAGACCTGCAAAATACTTCAATACTAATATTTGAAATAATTCCGGTGGATAACATATTTTGAAATATCAAAGCACCGAAAATAAGAAGGTTCCGCAATATGGGGGCTATAAGAAGACCCGGATCTGCATTGGCAATTTTCTGTCACAGGCTGTAGTACCCATTAGAAACTCTAAATACGAAATTTGAAACAACTCCGGTGCAAAATGTCGCTAAAATCATCAAAATATTGGGAGGTACCGTTATATGGGGGCTATACCTAACCTTGGATCTATATAGCCAATTTTCAATACCAAAAGTCCTGTAGATCAACACACATTGTGTAAAATTTATCAACCTACTTCAATTTTTTCGGAAGAGGCTAGAGATCGAGTTTTATGCTGATCAAGAATATATTCTTTGTGGGGTCTAAAATGTATATTTCGAGGTGTTACAAACGGAATGACAAACTACTTAGAAAAAAGCCTGTAGCAACTCAAAAAAAAAAAAAAAAAAAACAAGTAAGCAAAGGCTACAGTCGAGCGGGGCCGACCGTTGAATACCCTACAACACTATAATAAACGATACAGTTTATATAGGCGAGATACTCGAAGAATTTCACAAGATATTGCGACAAATAATAAAAGAAAACCATCAGGTTTCGTTCTTTAATTTTCGAATAATAGCAACTTAACTAATTTAAATGGTCATCCTAGATCTGGAACCAATATTTCCCAAAGACCAATAATCTCTCAGAAGTGGCAAAAGATTAACATTATTATTGGTTTTTGACTGAAACGCATCTATATGAGATACAGACATTTGACTATATTCTTCAACGAAATCAGCGTTAACGAAATAGTCAGAAGTGCGTCTTTCCTGTATTTGTGAATTCTCCAAAAAGTCACTGGAATGGACATTTTCGTATTTTGTCTACAAAAGTTGGCAAACTATTTCCCACTTTTGCAATGTCCGGTAACCCCCATTCAAATGGGCGTGAGGATCGGTTGATAATTACGACCTGCTTACAATGTTGCAGTTTTTTGGTTCATTTCAACCCCTAAATATATGGCGATCATCTCCAAAAAGAGTAGGCTTCTATTCTGACCCTCATCTTATCCCCATGCAAAATTTCGTAAGGATCGGGCCATAATGCGATCTGTATATGATATCCTGATATCCTAACTACTTAGTTTTGTTAGCTGTAGAAATATTACCAAATGTTTAATTCAAAATGAAAATATGCCAAAAATATGACAAAATTGAAAAAATATGAGAAAATTTTTCTTTCCTGCCAAGAGGCCATTCTGAATTAATGAGAACTGTCGAAATCAGTTCAGCCGTTCTCGACATATAAGAGATCTTTCAAGCATATCTTCTTTGATAGACATATATATCACACATATTTCGCTATATATCCGATTTGTTGGATGTTAACATCAATGTAAAGGTCAGAAGTACCTTGTCATGGCTTTGTGATTTCGCCGGTATTTAAAATATTCGCGGTTTAATGAAAAATTTTGAATTTTTTCAACACAAAAGTTATCGTATATTTTACCCGCTAAATATTATCCGATGAACACCCAAATTGGTATGCTTCTTCCCCGCCCTAAACTCTAGCTACATGCGAAATTCCGCGTCGATTGGTCTATAATTGTGACCTGTATAGCTAATGCAAATCCGACATTTTTTCAGTATTTGGTCCATTTCAACCCTAAATATTATGCGATCATCTCCAAAAGAAATAGGGTTCTATTCTGACCTAAGCCCCACCTCCATTCTAAATTTCGTGAAGATCGGCCATAATTGCGACCTGTAGAGTGATTACAAATTAACATGGACAGACGGACGGACGGACATACATAGCTAGATCGACTCAGCTCGGCGAGCTAGGAAGATCCATATATACTTTCCTATATGGGAAACCAATATTTCGAGGTGTTACATAAATTCTGGCCCAATCAAACTTATAATACCCCCAACACATAGTGTTGTAGGGTATAAAAACCCAATAATTTTGTCATAATATTTTTAAAATCCTCAAACTATTCCAAATTTTTAGAATATATATAATAAGTCGTCGATTAGGCAATTTGTTGTGTTCATAATTTTTTTTTAAATCCCTCAGAAAATATTTGTCAAAAATCATTATTGACTATTTTACAATCCTCTATTTGGGTTACTTATCGGGGTAACTTTCAAACGCCGATAAGCGTAACTTCTATTTTTCTCTACTACTTTCAAATTACTGCAATTTTCCTGTAATTTTGAAGACATTTGAATTTTGTCAAACAATTGTATTTTAAATTCTATTTAGTATTGGGTCTACACAAAGCTGAGGAACCGGCACAGTGCCTCTGACCTATATGTCGAATTCTCATCAATTTCAATATTAAGTTACATTTATAAATATATTAAGATTTTTAAAATTATTTTTCTCTTAGACTTATCTAATTTCCTCCACAGGACCCCCATCACTAATGTACGGGTTATACGATTACCACAGTCTAGAAAACCATTACTTAAAAATAGAAAACTATAATAATTTCTAAATATGGCATAAAAGCTAAGTTCTAAGTTAGTTAGTAGTAAATAATAGAATGAATAGCTGTGGAAAACTACTACAACCAAACCCCCAAATGACGTTATATTAAAATTAAAAAAAAATAAATAAATAAACTCTAGACCAGACTACTTTGAGAAATGAATGAAACGAAAGTAAAAGAAAAATAGAAAATATAAATAAAATATTGAAAATGCAAAATGGAAACTTACCAGAGGTAACAGATTTCCTTAAGGTAAATCACGAAATGTGGTAACACTACTACTTTCTAAGTTTAAATCCACCGAAGGCAAGGGAGGCGGTGGTGCTGGAGTATCCGAATGGGAACGTTCATGTATCGAACGTACGGGGGGATGGAATCATGGTGGCTGAAAAAAAAGAAAAAAATATGAAATTGTTTTTGGGTACATTTTTTAAAAAAAATATTTCATATAAAAACCAAGATCATCAGTCGGTTGGTCGACAGATGTATACCAGCAGCATTTGTATACTCTCTTGGGACATACCATAAGATTGGACCTACATATACGATCTTTATACTTAATCTAATTTCGTGACAAAAACATTGGGAATTACCAGAAGAAGTGGACCGAACAGAACACACACAAGATTTAACAAACTCTCCACACCAGGCGTGTCAGGAAGGACATGCATGATCTAGAGAGGAGGTCCAACGCTATAAGAGAGAATTTCTAGATCAAGAAGCCTATCAGGCAGGTCTGAGTGACGTTCATACCGAGCAGTCGCAAATGCCAACAGCAATTACAAGATGAATGCCGTCCTCGGAGTCACCCCAATTTGGAGCGTGGCTAGACAAACAAGGGTAGTTTGGCTCAATTACGTTCAGGATGGTGCAGTTCGTCTCAATTCGTTTGGGCACGAATGACGAAGGTGTGTGATACAGACTCGCACAATAACTGGCGCATTTTATTGCGCCTCAAACCTACCCAAACTCACTCAGAAGATCTCTGGTTACAGCCCGTTAAGGTAGCTGAATTTTTAAAATGGAGCTGAACCCGACTAGCAGAATATCAAAAATCCACATGTCGTACTGCAACACCACAATCTAATGTTGTGGAAGTATAGTTTTGTTCGAGTAAAAGAAGTTAAATTTTATGAGAGTTACAAATAAATTGGGGAGGGCAGGATACCAGGAAGGTCCAGTAACAATTTTTCCGATGGCTGATGTGATTTTTGGTTTGAGATTTTTACCGTTCTTACAATTAAATGGGTAGGGGGATACCAGAATGAGTCCAGCTAACATTTTTTCCGAGGGCTCTGATGTCTGATTTTTGGTTGGGATTTCCTACCGTTTCTCCAAAAAAGTTATTTAGATGCGGCATTGGAATTACTGTGGGAACTATGGGAAGTACCATAGATAGAAACGAACATCAAACGATTCGGACAAATTTTTAGAAAAAAGTAGACATTTTCCAATACTTTCATTTCGAATAAAAAGTATTTTTTTCCCGTTTTCGGATAAAACAATCGAAAATATTCGATTTCGAAAAAAAAAAAAAAATAGTAATCTTTTAGGGTACCAGAAAGAGCCAGGTAACATTCCGAGGGCTCGGTGTGGTCCAATTTTTTTTTTGTCGAGATTTTTCTACCGTTCTCCAGAAAAGTTATTAGATTATGGACTCCGCGAACTATGGAGACGAACATCAAAAA